GCACTGCCCAGGAAAAGCAGCCACGCGGTCACGTCTGCCTTGGCACCCCATCGCCCTGTGTCTGCTCATCTGTGCAGGTGGTGGAAGAGACCCATCTCGTCCTGAAGGAGTACGGCTTCCGCTTTATGCGCCGGGGGGCCATCTACGTCAAAGGCAAAGGGGAGTTGCTGACCTTCTTCCTGAAGGGCCGGGAGAAGCAGGGCTCTTTCGTCAATGGCTCCTCAGTGACTCTTCCACACCAGGTGGTCGACAGCTCATGATGGAGCTGGGCTCCATGCTCTCACTAGCAAATGAAGTCCAGTGCCTCCCACTGGCGAGAGACAAGCAGCTTTGAGTGCCCAGCGCTCTAGAAACAAGACTGATAGTAACATCTTTCAACCCAATGTCTAGATTTAAGAGAAACCACCCCCTGGCCTGCTCCTTTTTTCCTGGAGGTTTATCTTAGAGGGGTCTGCTTGACTTCAGCTCCCCATCTGCAGCTTAGCAGAAGGGAGATAGGGGAGGGACTGATCCGATCCCCCTACAGCTCTCACACACGCACCCTCGTGCTGATGTGGGTCTGGCTGGTGGGAAGGCGTAAGCCTCACACAGCATTTCAGGAGCGCTCCCAATTGCAGTAGGCTCCTGTGTACCCTGTTAGTGTAATCGAGAGAGGCAGGTGGCATGGATTTAATTTAGTGCCACAGACCCAGCCTCCACTTAGTGTTTGTTGCTAAGAGATAAAAACTCAGGGTGGGTGGTCAGAGGAAAAAATCTCTGGTGTGTGCCAGGAGAGTTAAAACAGGAGCACTTGGGTTTTCTGTTAGTTCACACAATGCTCATCCTTGCCCTATGCCACCGTAGCTAGGAGATCAGAGAGAGTGCAATATTTCCTTTGACTTGGAGGTGAAGAAATAAAAACCAATGTTGTGTATTTCAAATATATAAATATATATATAAAAAGATACAGATCGACATTTATATTTTTAATTGTGTCTGTTAGACTATTTGCGGATTTCTCTTTCCGACACTGCCTTGCACTCCGCTCTCTGCTGTTGTCACCTTTGCTGTCGCTTTAAGGAAGAGATGGACAGGTATTGGCAAAGAACAAGACTGTTTTATTAAAGCCTTCATCCAATATTCTGTTTGAAAACAAACGCAGTGTAATTATTTCTCTAGTTTCTTGAATAGAACAAGTTGAATTTAAAAGACAGTGGTTCCGTGTCCAGTTTGTCCTGAACACTTCCGTGCCCTGGCCTAGGCTGCTGGATGTTCAAGTGCCTCATGGCCTCACCCCATGAGAGGCTCTGCGCAAACACAGCATGGAAGGGAAAACAAGTCTCTGCATGAATTTCCTGTAGTGTAAATACATTCTCTGAGCTGTGAAGGGTAATACAAGTACTTCGCATGTGTATAATGCCTTTTCAGCTGGAGGTCAGCAAGCACCTCACAGTGGTGAGTATCATTAACCCCTTTCCAGATGTGGAAACTAAGGGAAAGAGGCCCCATTTTTAAAGGTATTCAGGGGCCTAAAGATGTGGGTTGGTGCCCAGGGGGCTTTTCAAGAGGGCGTAAGGGCTTGTCTACATGTAAAACACTGCAGCAGCACCGCTGACTTTCTCCTGCCGGCATAAGTAATCCATCTCCCTGAGAAGAGGTAGCTCGCTCGCTGGAAGAATGAGTCCGCTGACCTAGCATTGGCTACGTGGGGACTTTTAGCTTCACTACACTGTTCAGGGGGGTGGATTTTTTACATGTGACTCCAATGTGGGTAACTGGACCTAATTTTCTAGTGTAGACCAGCTGTAAGTGACTTGCCCCAGGCTTACTTAGCTGGAAATAAAATCCCAAAGGGCTTGACTCCCAGCGATCTTCTTCATCCACTGGACTAGAGCCCTGGTGGGTTTCACTGTCATGAACATCACCCAGTCCCACATTCAGTGGTGGTGTAAATGAAGTGGGAGTTGGTCATACTCTACCTAGAAGCAGAAAAGGAGCGTAGCTTGTACCGCTTGCCTGCTCTTGGGAGTGTGGGAAACACGTGAAATTGACACCCATTTGGCACGTCACCTGCTATAGGTGAGTGCAGCTTTGCTGAGCTCAGGGGGAGGGATGACCATATACACCAGGTCTGAATTTGTGCTTAAGAACGTCAAGACGGATGCAGCCCCAATCAAAGTGTGGGTCTCATGCAACGCTGCCTTGTACCAGCACTTAACAGTTGTGCAAAGTGGGTGTACACATCACCAGACCAGAGGGGGGAGGACAGCTTACTTGTTAAAGCACATGCCTAGGAGTTGGGAAACCTGGGTTCAAGTCCCTGTTCTGTCTCAGACTCCCCCTGTGACTTTGTGCACATCACTTAGAGGATCTGGGCCTAAGGTATTTAGGCTCCTAACTCCCATTGACTTCAATGATCTGGGCCTTAGTCTTGCTGGGTCTCCCTCCCCCAGCCCCAAAATAGGGATATAGCACTGGCCAATCTCAAAGGGTGGGGTGGGGTTGTGAGGTGCTTATGGAATGAGGAACTCTGCAGTACCTAAAATGGGGTTACATATACTTCGCACAGGTGTAAAGCAGTAGAGCAGGGCCCCAGCCCTCAGATCACTTCTCCAGGCTCCAGCCACTTGTTTTCCCATCTCCAAAAGGCCCAGCAAATGTTGCAGAGCTTTGGCTTTTCCCGTCTGCTCTTTCTTCCCAAATCTAGCCTCCACCAGTTCACCCTTGGGAAGAAGGAAAGGTTTCCTGAGACTGAGGTTCATACCCCAGACTCAGGCAGTAGGATGGCTCACAAGGGCTGGGAAGAGCTGCTCAAGAACATTTGTTCCTGCACAGTTCCCACATTGCAGGCTGCAGGGGCCTTGGAGAGCCTTGGTCACATTGTCCTAGTCCCACCGCCTTGGTAGTCCCCAGCACTTTCTACAGCTATCTCCATTGAAAAGAGCCTGTAAAGCCCCTAGAAACAAGGAGGGACTAATGTATCTCCCTCTCAAATGGACTACTGTGAAGAAAGGGAAACAAGAATCAGCCACTACCAAGGAACATCGAGGGGGAAAACGAATAGAAGTAGCATGATCCAGGGACTAAGGGGAGCAGAAGATGAGATGGCTGGGCAGTGGATGCTGGGGAGAATGGCACCAGTGAGCAAGAACATACGGCTAAGGGACAAGGAGAAGGGGAACAGGCCCCACAGAAGCATGAGCAGGGGAGCGAGAGGAATAAAAGAATGGAGAGCAGTTAATATTTCCAAGCAAGGCAAAACACTCATTGCATTGGAGACTGTTAAATGAATTAGAGACCTCACATGGCAAAGTAATCGCATTAGATGCCATAGGGATACGATGGCACCAGGAGTGTTCAGAAGGAAACGTTCCTTAGGTTTAGTTCCCCCCCCCTTGGAAAAGTTTGAGCCCCTGTACTATGCAACTCAAACACACTCAGGAACAGACTAACTGCACAGGTCTCCCTCCGTGCCAGGGAAAAGGCCCTTGCTGCTGTCCGCTCGTCAGTACTAGCACCACTGCAAACAGCCTCTGCTACCCCTGTTGCCTATGGGTATGTCTACAGTGCAGAAGTGTAGACACTCAGGCTTAGGCTAGGACCCTGTGAAGTGGGAGGGTCCCAGAGCTTAGGCTGCCAACTTTCTATGCTGCAATTAAACAGCCCCTTAGCCCAAGTCAGCAGGCACGGGCCAGCCCCAGGTGACTAACTGCAGTGTAGACATACCCAAAGAGACACCAGCAGCATTTTTATCATGCTAGTGGTCTGACCTCTATGTTCCATCTGTTGGCATGCAAGGGCCTGCGTGCTCCTCTCTGAGGGCTGTCTGAGATCCTGAAAGATCAGGGTATCTGCACTTTCCTTTAAGTGACAGCCCTAGCTTCCCTCGAGTAGGTCAAAGAGCCCTGTAGATTAAGTGGAGAAGAGTGCAATTTGACTGCTGGTTTTCCTGCCTCTGTTGCTACCTCAAGAACTGTGCTGACTGAGTCACAGAAAAATACAAGACAATAAATGGTTTGTTGTTTCTGTAGCATTACTCCCACCTCATGTATGGCTGCTCCTGGACTCCTCGGCCCATAGTACCTTTCATTACTTATACCATGACTATAAACACCAAGGAGAGAGCAAAATTATGTAGTGTCACACAAAGAGAAACAGGAAGGAATTAAAGCTATGGGGGCAAACTTGTTACCATTAACTTGTGGAAGGGTCTGTAGCTTTGTTTGAGTCATTTACAATTAGACAAAACAGAAATCAGGCTCCAGGGAACACTCAAAGTGGCTGAGGATGTTTGAGCAGTCGACTAGAGGATCTCATATGCAGTTCTAATACTGACAGTTTCTGAAAACTAATTTCTCTGAAACAGAAGGTCAGTAAGTTCCTTTTCTGATGACTCTTGCCACAGGCAATACAACGTTAGTAATTATCTGTGATCATTGTTAATCAACCAGGCTTCAGCAGGCACCCAGTCTCTCTATTCTCTGTAATTAATACATTACACATTCCAGTTTAATAATGGTTCCTTCCAAGCTAGAGAAGGTTTTTGCGAAGTTAAAACTAAAAATCCTTTGGAAATAATGTTCATTTGTAGTATCTGTTCAGGATCAGTGTAATCTGTGCCCAGAGACAAGGGGCTGCAGAGGGTCACAGGTGTAGATTTGAGGGCACCTCTTTCCTATGACATATGGTTAGGTGGACAGGCCATTTCATTCTCACAAGAGGAAGAGAAAGATCCACCCCAACCTCTCTCTTGCCACAGATATGCTCCTGCATGATCTGCAGAAATAAAATGGTATTTACTTGTGTCAAAGCCACACACACAATCTGCACACCTGGTCAGAGGCAGAGGCCCCTGTAGCAGCAGAGGGAGCAGTCGTGGCACGGCAACAGGCAAAGAAAGAAACTGCCTTTCACCATTCTAGAAGTGATGGAGGATGCCAACTGTCACGAACAAAGACATTTTCAGACAGGGATCTAGTTAGAGGCTGTACATTATGCAACAGCAACCTGCAGGACTTTTCTGCAACAATCTGCTCAGTTCTTTCATAAATCTTCATGAGCATCCCCCCCCCTCCCCAAATTAACTCTGAACATCAGGGGCACAGTCTTCCACTCAGAAATGATGCAGTTGTAATAAAATAAATCTCAGCCCATGTGCCACAGAACTTCAGGTTGCAATTTAAAGCGATGGTCAGGTTACCTTTGGCCTCCTAAACTATTTTCAGGAGTTATAAGCAACTAGAACAAACCAAAATAACTAAAGCATTTCCCTGCAGCATTTGCAACTCAAACACTGCAGCACTGGGCTGGGGTTTTTCGCCTTCCTCTGCAGCGTGGGGCACAGGTCACTTGCTGGAGGATTGTCTGCACCTTCAAGTCTTTAAACCACAAGTTGAGGACTTCAACAGCTCAGACATAGGTCAGGGGGTTGTTACAGGAGAGGGTGGGTGAGATTCTGTGGCCTGCGTTGTGCAGGAGGTCAGACTAGACGATCATAGTGGTCCCTTCTGACCTTAAAGTGTATGATTCTATGGTACATGAGAAGTGGGAAGAAAAATTCCCTAGTCAAATATCCCTCATCAGACTTGAGAGAAATAATTGCCAACCGCCATAGTGAAAAGTAAATTAGATTTTTAAGATTATTGCACTTTTAATCATGAGGCATATTTAGTAACAGGTGAAAAAGTGAAAGTGCCATTAATAATGAATTTGAAAAAGGAAGCCAAACGTCTCATCTAAACCAGGACACAGAAAGGAGCTCAATAGGGGAATGCAGGGAAAAGTCAGGTTTTCACAGATATTGTCAGTTTTAATTTTTTTCTGAAGGTTTTTTTATTATTATTATTAATGCATTGGTGATTTAATTACAGTTATATTAACACCAACGTGTGCACGCTTGATTTAAATTTAGTTGATGTTGGAAGTAACCAAATGTTATTACAGGATGGTGGTTCAGTATCCCCCTTGGAGGATCTTCAAGCTTCTCTACACAGTGGTTTAGTCCACACCAGAGGGATGTAAATTCTAGTGCACACTAAAGTTTACTGTAGTGCGGACCAATGCACAGTGCAGGCAGGGCCATAGTCCACCTCACAGAGGGTAAGTGCTCGTCGCAGAATCCACTACCACAGTTGGCACTAACTGCTAACATAAGCCTGACCTATGCAGCAGGAACACTGCACCTGTACGGAGCCCTACGGAAGTCAGGGAGGCTGTCCTGCACGAATCCAGTTGCCGAATTGGAGACTTCGTTGATAATCTCAGCATGAGGCCTAGAACTAAACGTGCCATTTGCAAAGCAACCTAGAGGAAGCTTACACCTACTCTGCACCGTCTGATACCAGCTGGAGGATACAGGGAAGATCGCAGGCCCCGGGGCCGCTTCCCTGACAGCTTTCACCAGGGCTGAGGTTTGTTAGACTTTTGTAAAGTTTACCTGACAACTCTGAAAGTCTTTTCGGTTTCCCATTCCAGTGGAGAGGGATTTCCGGTGTCCATCTGCTGTCCAGTCTGGTGAAGTATTATGGAGCCATGGTAGCAACTATGTTAGTCTGTCAGCAACCCTTTCGCAACATGCCAGAGGAGAGGAGCTCTAGAAGGATATGCGGAGACCAGGCATCCAAAGGCCGCTCAAGAAGACAGTGTTCTCAGTACTATGAACTGGTTTAGCTATTCCTCAGGCATTTTCCTGAACTCTGCTGCAGTCCAGTCTAAAAAGCATTTACACAGTAGCAACGTCCCAGGGAGCTTTGCAGCGATCAGAAGGCACAGTAAGTGCATTTGATCTGGGGACAGGGCGTCGCCTGCTTACGCTGTTTGGTCCAGACTTTCTGCTGCTCTTCTGAAGGAGTTGAAGGCTTTGTGCAGAGCCATGTGGCGAAACAAGTTTGAATGAGCTGCTGTCTTCTCCACCAGAGAGTCAGAAACATCCCCTGCTTCAGAGAGAAACCAGCAAATCAGTGTAGCTGAAAGGAACTCAGTATTACCCCTAACACAAAGCTCCTTGCTTCTGATTTCTCTCCTCCCCACCTCTGCACATGTTGGGACTCCCATCTGGTTTCATCTGTTATCCTCCCTTCCCCCTCTGTTCCCCCTTCCTTACTCTCTCCACTCCCTGTCTCCCCTGACAAGCAGCTGCTCTGCGTGTGTGTCTCTCCCAGCATTGGAGAGGAAATGGCTCCAGGCCCACTTTTTCCTGGCATTGAGACAGCCTGGGTAGGGTTGCCACCTTTCTAATTGCTGGTAACTGGACACCTGAGGCACCACCCCTGCTCCGCCTCTTCCCCCCTCCAAGGACCCACCCATCACATGCTCCTCTCCCCATCGCTGGCAGGAGCCTGCCTGCAGGTCGAAGGCAGCCCCAGCGGAGCAGGATCTTTAATGACACGATACCTCCCCATGCCCCACGATAACTGGACTTTGGTTCGGGTGCCATTTAGGTTGCCAGGTCCCCTTTTTGACTGGACTTTCCAGTCGGAAACCGGGCACCTGGTAACCCTAAATGGCACCCGGACACAGAAGCCAAAAATTGGACCGTCCGGATAAAACCTAGATGGATGGCAACGCTAGTGACGGCTCAGGGTTTGCAAACGTGAGGGAAGTGCCAGGGGAGCAGCTTATCTTTCAGACACCGGTGCCCAGAACTGTAGTATCTGAACTTGCTGAGCAAAGGCTACACGCAGGGGTAGGCAACCTATGGCACACGTGGTCCAGGGGGGTTCTGCATTTTAATTTAATTTTAAATGAAGTTTCTTAAACATTTTAAAAACCTTTACTTTACATACAACAATAGTTTAGTTCTATATTATAGACTTATAGAAAGAGACAGTCTAAAAACGTTAAAATGTATTACTGGCACACGAACCCTTAAATTAGAGTCACTAAATGAAGACTCGGCACACCACTTCTGAAAGGTTGCTGACCCCTGGACTACAGCTTCATTTGCAGAGGGCTGAATGTGGGGGGAGAAGGGAAGAAACAGCTCCAGGAGCATCAGACTCCCGCTTCCCCTCTACCACTTACAGCACCAGAGGGAGACTGACGGTGGTGTTCCACCTGCAGAGCTGGGCCTCAGTTCCACGCCAGCTCTGCTGTTTGGCCAATGGGGCCTCCAGACAACTAGCAACTGGCTAAGATTAGCTCGAGTTGCTCCTCTCCCCAGAGCTCTATCTAGAGTCCTAGCCCCCCATTCAGCCGGCTCAGCTGCAGGGTCCTTCTGCAAGATCATTGCCGGGGCAATATTAAAGCGGCACAAAGCCTCGCATTAACCCACTAACCCTCGTGGCACCCACAGGAGGTAAGTGTTGCTACAAAGCAGAGATAGGGAGCAGGGGCCACAAACTGGCTGCTTTTTAACCATGAAGGCTTTTGCCTATTCCTTGTACGTAAACCTGCAGAACAGGGACATTCTGGGAAAGAATCCACAGAAAGCAGAATCAGAGTCAACAGGCTGCCAGACAGTGCAAACCACGTAACTGCTTTGGAGCAAGAGGAACTCCTCGATTTCTTAGACCAACCCTATCATTTATAGCAGCCCATCACAAACCGATGGGGAGACTGTACTATGACACACACTGTCATTTGACTATAAAACGTTTATATCATTGCAGATTTGGATACGAGATGGTCCCTGCCCCAAAGGCTTTACAATATCAGGAGAGGGTGGCTTGCTGTCCGGTATTATCTCATGTTTCCCCTGCATTCACCTGTCGGTCTGTTTATATCCATCTGTTTTCTCTGTCGTATATTTGGACTGTAAGCTCTTTGGGGGCAGGGACTGTCTCTGTGCTGTGCCTGTACAGCCCCTAGCACAACAGGGTCCTGGTCCAAGATTGATCGATCGATCGTACATACAATCTATCTTATGGAGGAGGAAGGACAGATTTCCTGAAGAAGTGGGGGAGGACAGGCAGACCGTTCCCAGGCACAAGCTTTCTGTCACTACAGTTCATATTATCCCTTTATGTTTCAGGTGAAAGCCATAACCACACTGCCCGTCTCTCCTTATGCCACCACCTGCTTTCTAGTATACTGTACAGGCCAGTGCCTTCAAACCACACAGTATCAAATCTTATTCACAATGAAAGCTCTTCCTCCCCCAGAGAGACGTTTCCCAATCCCAAGGATTTCGTAGAAGTGTGGAGAGAAATCATGGGATAATCTTTGCTCCAATGGATTATAAATGGGATACTTGAGCAAACTGTAACTCTGGCTGAGAGGGCGCACACTTCGGAATTCATTAGGAGCCCCTCTATCCTCCAAACTTTCCTGTTTCAGGGGACTGAGTTGTAACGTGACGGGGCCTCAACTGTTCGAATACAGGTTGATCTGGCCTGCGTGCTCGGCACAGAGCTTTATATATTCCTGTGGGGACCAGAGCAACATGTGGCAGATTCTCCGTCATGGGCAATTCATAAATCAAGACTGGATGTTTTTCTAAAAACATCTGCTTTAGTTCAAGCAGGAATTAATTCAGGGAAGTTCTCTGGCCTGTGTTACACAGGAGATCAGACTACATGGCCAAAATGGTCCCTTCTGGCCTTATAATCTATGACTATTAGCATTTTTCTGCTATTTGAATTTATTCAAGGTAACAAATTAACATGCATCTTTCTGAGATTATTTGTATGTCCACTCCTGCACATTCTCTCATTCCAGTCCTGGTTCCCCATATACCTCAGACCCAGCAACGCCCTTAACGATCCAGAACCATCTTACAACCTGGCTAAGACGGGAGCTGTAGCAAGTCTGTAAAATGTTTATAGCTTGAGGCCACCACCTCTTCAGCGCAAAGCTCCAGCTACATAGGAATCACGTGGCCTGCTTTTCCACAGGGCTCAAGAAATAAAGTAAGCTGCTCATTTCTCTCTTGTCCTGAAGTTCAAATAGTGAACAGTAATAATATGACCCCAAACAGACTATGAAAGCCCCAATGCAGATTGTTTTGCTCTGATCTTGCTCCCATACAAATGCTCTCCGACTGGACACAGATGTTCTTATTTTACCTTTACATGTAATAGTGGCCTCGGTTGGAAGACTACGGGTGAGATCCCCATAAACCAGCTTCGCTCTGAATGGAAAGGTCTTGCTTTCTGTTTCCACATCATAATTAAAGAACAATACATTATGCAACGAGTTTCTCTGCAAGGTTCCTTCGAGAAAGGCTGAATAATGGTCCTGTAGGGATGAAGACAAACAAAGCACGAAACTATAAGAGGGACTCATTCAGAGAGTGGGGGCTGGGATTTCTCCCATTTTGCTAAATCTTAAAACACACTTAGGTCTGACAGATTTAAGGTTGGAAACATGTTGTACATACCGCAAACAAAAACCTCGCAGTAAAAACATCCGAGCTGGCACACATTTTTATTTCAAGTCAGGAAACCTGAAGTTTAGACTACACAAAACATCTTCAATCTACCGCACCCTGTATCCTGACACATGGAACATCATCCCCATAACAGATGAAGATCGTGGCATTTGTATTCAGGAGACAGAGTGAACATGGCGGACTGTGATTTTAACTGACCGGTTAATAGCAGAGGGCATTTGCTGATAAAAAGATATGAAGATGTTGCAATACTGAGTATAGAGGGCAGGTGGGAGGAGGAGAGGAACATGTCTGTTCTGTGTACAAAAGGTAAGAGGGAAAATATTAGAGAATCGGGACAGTTTGGAGAAGGGGCTATGGAGAGATTAGTGCCCACCATGTAATGGGTGGACGCTTAGCTGGCAGAATACGAGACAGTACACTGGGGATACATGGCTTGTACTGGAAATCTAGAAGAGGTACAAGTTTGAGTCTCTCAGGGATATAGATGGACTGTGTGTTGGAAATGGGGTGGAACAGAGTAAAAGTTGTTTGTGGAATCTTAACTCCAAGTTTCCTGACTTGCACATGTCTATTTTTCTAAAGCCAATGAGTTTTGGTTTTTAAAAGGGGTGTATTTCCAAACTGAACTCCATGTTAATGAAGTTTTTTGCTTAGAGAATTACCTTATTCTAAAAACAAATGTATATATTTTAGTGACGCATGCTAACACATTTAAGACATATTTCCATCGGTCTTCAAGTGAGTTCATATTTCATGCTATAATTAGCAATGCAACACCTAAAACTGGAACCTTGAGTGCTCCTCTGTAGGACCTACGGCTTAACAGCTTCCTGTGCAGATTCTGACAAACAATTCTCTGCACAATTTTCATTGCATAAAAATACCATGCAAGCTCTGATGCCCACAGGCTTTTAGGATATTTACAGCCTAACACAGTTTCTAAGATTTAAACAAAAGAGATTATTGTGTGTGTTTAACTCCCCACCACCACCTGGAATGCAAAACTTGCTTAACATATGTCTTCAAAGAGCTTAAATGTTAACTTATTAACCCTCTTAACACCCTGTCATGTTCTGCATTTTACTGATGTGGAAACCTAAGTAGAACGGTTTAATGACCTACTCAAGTGCATACCCAATGACTCTGTCACAACTGGAATTAGAACTCACAGATCCCTGGTTCTCAAGCCACACATTCTTGTGTCCTTCCTACCTCATATTTACTGTAACTTCACCCACTCCCCCAAATATATGTGGCTAGAGAACCCTCCCATATCATTTATTTTCCTTTTGGTACATACAAGGATCAAGAATAGATTAATGTGGTTGTTGGGGCCATCGGTACCTGTAACTGATCTGCCTGGTATTTCCTTCCAGCATAAGCATTCAGGTGATCAGACAACATAGCCAGGAAGCATTTGATGTCGGTCTGCAAGTACTTCTTGGCTATTTGCTCCAAGGGGATGAAGATGGGGACAGAGTGGTGACGAATCTGGACTGGTTGCTGTATGAGGAGGTCCAGGTAGTAGGAGTCCAGGTAGGTGCCTTCATAAGCAGTGCTGATGCAGAAACAGACTCCTTGTTTGGTCAATTTCCCACTAATCCCTTGGGTACAAAAAGAGGTCTTTATTCAGCACCATTCTAGAACACTATTGTAAGGAAGCTTTGCCAAGGGGGCATGGATGGCTAACTGTGTTGTTCTACATATGGAACACACTACATACATTTAGTCATTAGACAGGGCTCCTAAGAGGATTAAAGATTTGGAACAATTAAGAGGCATGAACCCTGGCATCATTTTTTATAACCCTCCCCTCAATCTTCTAGTGGGTTCAGGATTTTGTGACCAGAACTCTAGGTTCCCAACTACTTCCACTAAGTTTCTGTGCTGGTCCTGGTATGTTTCTGCTCACCTTCCACACAGGTGCATGCACTCTAGCCTGCTACGGAGCTTGGACTACTCCAAACCTGTCTTACCATCACGAGAAGCCCAAACTCAATGTTGACTTAAAGAACGTACAATTGAGTAGAGGAAGGCAGCATGCTCTGCCTGGCATAGCCAAGGTCCAAGAGTCATTAAACTGATACAGTCGTCCAAAAAGGTTGGGAAACGCTCCCCTGATCAGCTCATCTGCATCGTGGCAAGATTGGTTTAATTACATTTCAATTAGAGAAACTGGAAATTGTGGTGAAAGTGATGCACATGAAAGAAGTAATTTGAACAGGCTCAGAGACATTAGAAACAGTATCCTGCCCTTAGGGAAGGCTTAGCCAATGAGAATTTGTTCTGAACAGTGTGTTAACCCAGTATCCTGGATGACTCTAGTGGTGGATGGAGAATCCGAGGAGACAGACAAAGGGAATCAACCCTAGATGAATTAATCTCTTTCAAACTCCGTTATTTTTCCTAGCACCTCAACACTCTTAATGACTTATTTAAGAGCACAATAGAAGCACTTTTAATAGAAAACAATCAGCTAGATATCAAGTTCGTCTTTCAAAATGAGAACCCTCTAAAACCAGTGGCTGGGATCAAGGACACCTACCAGCCCCAGGCTTTACCTGTCAGACGAAAGGCTTGCAGCATGGCCTTGACATTTTCCACTTTCCATTTTAGAAGAGCTTGCCCTCCGGTCTCCGCTGCTTGGACGGGCTCCACATTACTGCCGGTGGCTCCTTCCTGCCTGATGAGCTATAAAAGACAAGCCATGAAAGACAAGCAGCTCAGAGGTCACTGAAACAGCAAGTATTCACTGGATGAAGGGTGGCCCAGGCTGCTGCTGGGGAGTTGCTCTGATCAGAGCAGGGCAAGACAGATTGCTTGGAATCCCGTTTTGTGACAGGAGAAGAAAAAAGTTCCAGGATAGGGGCACAACAGTTTCTTTGTAAGTAGCGGGGCATGGCAGTCCTGCACCTCCTCTGTGAACAGGACTTCAGTCTTGAGTTTTCTCAAGCCAGCACCATGAAGTTATTTAAAAAAAAAAAATGTGAAGGGAAAGAATAGCAGCTAGTTGTATTAGAGAAATAATATAAAGACGTCAGTCACACAGTCTGGAAGGACGGAAGCCGGTCTGGGACTTTCTGCCACTTGTACGTGAAAAGCACCTAATTCTTACCCCAACTTGCTGCAGGTTCACTTTGGTCTGGAGCTCATCTCTTTGGAGTCTCAGCTCCTGGATTCTTGCTCTCAGCCTGACCAAATTCTCCTGCTGCCGTTGAGTTTCTTCTTGCTTCAGTGCTAGTTTCCGTGCATGAGCTTCTAGCTTTTCCAGATGGGATAGGACCCCTCCAGGAAAGGAGCAAACAGATAAATCCAATTATTTATTTATATTTAGTCTGGGCAGGATTTAAAAATCTATAGATGTCAGTTATTTCAGCTGACACACTGAAATCAACAACAAAAAATGGTGGCACCAGCCCTGGGGACATGCAGGGAGTCCTCTGTAGCCCCGCTGTCTCCACCCAGCTCCTTCACTCCCATGACAGCATGGCCTCAGGTCTGGTGACACCCAATTCCTGCAGGGACAAGGTGCAGTGAAGGCTGTGGTCCAAGCCCAGCGGAGCAGAGATCCCTGGCCAGGACTGCGATGAAGAGGTAAAGCCCCCAGCTGTTGCGGGAGGCCACCCCACTGCTGAATGGTTCCAACCCTGGACAGGAGCCATTCAGCAACAGAATGGCCTCCCTCATGGCTGGGGGCTCGTCCTCCTCCTTGTAGTCCTGGCCGATGGCCTCTGTTCCACTGGGCCAGGACTGCAGCCTTCTTTGCGCCACGGTGTCTTGGACCTCTCAGCAGCCCCCCATCAGTGCTACCCTAGCCCTACTCCCCCACCTTAATTTCCAGCAAATGTTTAAAAAACAAAAGTGATACTAATTGATGATAAAAATCTTAAAAATAAAAATCTCTATTAACTGTCAAAATTGGGGGAGGGGTTGGATTCTGCCAAGCCTATTTATTTTATAGTAGCACCCAGACCATGCTAGGCACTATACTGATACACGAAGAGAGACCCTAATCACTACATACTTACATAGGTTAGGGGAAAGAGAAATAACCTACAGTTAAGGGGCTTTTTGGTCTTTATATATAATCATATATCTATATCTATATATATGATGGAGTCCTAATCGTCCCTTGATGTAGCCATTGCTAGCTGGCTAATTTCTTGAGGCAATGTAGGCTAGTGCAGTGGTTTTCGAATTTTTTTTCTGGCGACTCAGGTCAAGAAAACTGTTGATGCCCGCGACCCAGTGGAACTGGGGATGAGGGGTTTGAGGATGTGGGAGGGGCTCAGGTCTGGGGCAGAGGGTTGAGGTGC